TGTCCACACACAAAAAGCCCAACCTCCATAGCTTCAGTGAAGATCCACATTGGTTTCCATGAAAACTGCAATCATGAACTGTATGCATCAGTGAAACAAATTGACGACTTTCAGAGTATGAGACAAACGCTTGGCCACTTCATCACTGAAGACCACCATATACAGTACATACGAAAAGATAAAATGAGTTTTGTTTCTGATCTACAAAATGATATAGCTTAGGTGTTGCAAACGCACTTCATAATTCTATGGTACCAGGTTTAATCCCAGATGCTTGCTATTTGACAGCAGACCGCCTTGCACCTGTTTCAACAGTGTATCGTATCGAGAGCCAACAGTTTAGAAAGTAATGGATGCTCGCGGATTCAAATGCGAACAGAGTCGGACTTGTTTTGAAAAATGACTTTTGCCCCCTGGTCGACCGAGCCATAAATAAGTACCAGGTAAACATTATGGGGAAGTAAAGGCCGTTGGCGTGATGTTGACCAAATCAACCACTGATGACCAACTGGTCTACAAAATATAGATCTAGCACTCTATGCCCAATATGCCTAAAGGCATGGAAAAACGTCCTTCGATATGATCAACAATGAAAAAGTGGTAGTTTCTTGTGGGTTTATTTTATTCTGAATACTGACAGAAAATAAATAGGCAATATTGAAATGATAATAAATACGGTGGGAGAAAGCAGCGTAATTATATATTCTTTCAGTGACACTACTACAGCTGACCTGGGTCAGCAACTGACATCACAGCCCTCAGGACATTCCCAAAAGCACTCTGTTCTCAGCTTCAGCAGCCAGTGAACATTTCCAATGGTTACAGCTGCAATTTGATTATGGGTCTGTTGCCTTTCCTCTGAGCTTAGAGTGTGGGCCGAATCCCCTGGCTACACCATTCTCTCCACAATTATGATCTATCTACTCATCATTTATTTGAGCTGCCTCTTTCACAGCTTCGGGTATTGAGGGAGATATAAGGTCCTGCTTCGTGCTCTTCTGGCTGTTTTGACCATAGACATATGGTGCTGTCTGATTTTTCAAAAACAAATTTAATTAAAACCATTTTCACATTGACATATTGTGCTAGACCAACATTTTAACAAACTTTTATTAAGTTGGCTTTTATCTTTTTGTTTGGTAGGATGTTTGCTTTCAATTTGTATATCATTTCCTGATAAGCTACTGGAATGTAATTTTGCATTAATATGCTTTGTAGATGACAATGCAATGTGGTTTTTTTTTTAATGCACCATTTTTCACGCTCTACCAGAATAAGCATGTTTTAACGAGAACAAGCATCTTTTTTGTGTGTGTGTGGATACATTTGTTTTGTGGCACCTTTTTATCTAGTGGTTAATAAATAATCATGTGATTCGTTACTTGGCATCCGTGGAGTCAAATCACAATAACAGATGAAGACAAACTTTGTATCATTGAATAACTTTCATGATAAATGAAAATCTGTACATACACAGTAAGTAATGTGACTTTCCAGTACTTCCTGTGGGGTGGTGAAACCAACAGAGACAGAAAAAAAAAACAGACAGTGGTTTCCATAGGGTGTGGTGTTTCATGGGTTCCCATTTTAAGTGGTCTTCCGAAAGGTTCTAAATATAGGGAAAACAAGAATAGACCCACTGCTTTCCTAAAAGCATGTCGTAAGAGTCAACTAATTAGGAGCTTCCTTCAGAGTCGGAGTGCATCTGCCTGAGAGGCAAGGAACCAACAGTCTGCGTACAAATTAGTCAAATCTGTAAAACATAAGCACACGCCACACTCAAGTTCTGGAACAGGACTGCAGTCCAGAAGTGGATGAAAAATGAGAACTTTCCACCAGAGTCTACAGCTGGTGAACGCAAAGAAGAAGAAGATACGACTTCAATAATTTGATCTTGTAAGAAACAACCAAAAACAAAGTAAACACTTTGTAATTCACTACAAGAAGAGCCCATGTGGGTTTAAAGGCTCCATGGGAGGGGGAGGGGAACTAGGACCCCTGACCCCTAGGGGGAGGGGAACTAGGACCCCTGACCCCTAGGGGGAGGGGAACTAGGACCCCTGACAAGCATGTAGTACATGATTTTTAATTATGATTTTGTTGCAATGGGACATGTTATACCAGAATGCGCAGACAATGCAGTCTAGTTGTAAACAAGCCAACCGTCATGATGATAACGAAAGCAATATGAAGAGAGGTTCATCTCCTTGGTGGAAAAAAAAAAGCTTTCAAGATACCCGATTTGACCTTTCTCTTGAGAAAATCTCCAGAACTTGCATCTGGAATGTTAGAACCTTGTGAAAATAGAATTAGAGACAGAGGTAACTATTCTCAGTCTTTTATTGAATTCACACAAAAAAGCCTCCCAGCTCACACAAAAACTGACAAAATTATCACCGATTTCATTGTTTATTTCTTCTTCTTCTTTGGACACTCCATCAAATACACCAAACTTCAAAAGTGAAAAAAAAAGCTGAGCTTATCTATTTCTTTACTGAATTAGCTCTTGGCAAATCATTGTTTACATGGCTCAGCTCATGAGTACAGCGCCCAAAACTAGTTCCAGAGTTGGATTTATTCTCTTGCTAGAAAAGCAAGAACAACACAGAATTCTTCATGATCTGAGCATTGCGGAAAACTGGCTCATAAACAGCATCCTGTCCCAAAAGCTGACAGGTATACAGGCTATGGTAGCTTGTAGAGAACAGCATGGAGGGTATAAGGCAGAGGCAGACCCCCATGGAAGCGGATAGAAGATACTGAAGATGCAATGGCTATGAAAGCATATAGGACAGGAAAACTTGCCGTGACTTTCAGACGTGCCAAGGCGAAAGTGACGTTCTATAAAGACCCGCTAAATGATGATAACATGAAAAGCAGGTAGCCAAGAGGTCAAACTGTTTAATTAATATACACTTAATACACTTAAATGTGTATTTTATCATTATTATGGCTCTGATTTTTACCAAAATCCTAGACAGCATACCACACGAGTAAAGTCAACTAACTGTTTGAATCACTTTATTCTTACTTTTAAATCAAGAAAGTCAAACAAAATGTTATGATGAACACTGATGAGGCCAAAGGTGTTAGACTGAATTATTTATACTCAGAGGTGAATATAATCTGGCCAGAAATGACTACCATTTACTTGACCGACAAGGACTGGTCTTAATTCTACACCTCAGGACAAGGCATAACAAACTTAACAAGCATATGCACAGGCTTTTATCTAAGGAGTTCACTACTGTACCCATGTGGGCTACATGCGCAAACTGCAGAATATATCCTGCAAGAACTCCCTAAAAACAGTCAATTCATCACAAGAGCTTGTCTGTCCATTTAAATCTGATTGCTATCACAAGAAGAACGATTCTACACATGACACTGAAAGAGTGGTGGTAAGGGATAGACGGAATGGAAAAATCAACTGAGAACCCAACACAACAAATAAATGGCACCGAAGGATGAACATGAGAACTACCATCAAGACAGACTCTTGCCAATACATCACAGCACTTGCGGCATTCCCTTAAGCGCTCCGTCCCCATCTTCAGCAGCCAGCGAAGAGTTCCGATACTTATGGTGCCAGTAGCATTCTAATTCAATGTCCGTCTTGCCTTTCCTGAGCCTCGAGCATCTGCCAGAGCCTCTTATCACTCCCCGCTGTATCAATCTTACCAGACTGTGGCGATCCTTCTGCTCCTCCGAACTGTACAGGCTCTCCCACAAGGCACCAACCACATCTGCCTTATCATGCAATTTTCAATAGGGAATGCTGGATAAATAATCAAATCCACCTTCTTCATGGCGCTGTCTAAATACAAAAACAGTAGATTTCTTCTTCTTGTTCACCAGCTGTAAACTCCGGAGGAAAGTTCTGAGTGTTCGTCCACTTCTGGACTTTAGTCCTGTTACAGGTTTCTGCACCACACAGCTGGGCTCAGGATATGTAACATTTGATGATTCTCATTTTTAACGTGCCTTTCATCTTTTTAACTGTTATTAATTTTTGCATCTTACTGAAGAGAGTGTTAACCACTCCCTTTCTCTTTCTTTTTTCCATCTGCTTCACTTCTGCCATAAAAATTTGGGGCTGAAGTCTGAGGCAACCATCCAGGAGGCGCACTTCAAAAATCAGGATGCCACAAACGCACGCTATAGGAAATAAGACTGCCCCCAATACAACACAGCAAGGCAAAACTTTTGTTCAAGAGAAACATCACTGCAGGTCAAACTTCACGGGCCCCAGAGTGAATTACAAAAGACAGTAAAGTTCATACTAGAGACAACATTGCAGATATAGATAATTTATTTCAAGCAAACGAAAGAAGAACTTCTGGCATAATCTATTACGTGTCCAAGATAAAAGAAACTTGTTACTTGTTCTAATATCTCTTTGTTTTCTGTGATGAGCACTGTTTTTCACTCTGTAATAAACCGAAAGATAGGTTTCAGACCCAGTCTTCCATAAATTTTTTTAATTTTTAAACAAGCAATGATTTGCCTTAACTGTGAAAAATACTGACCATAAATGCACATTTAACTTATTAATACTCTTTATATCTGTCGCTGTTAACGAACTCTCATTACTGAGCATTACATCCAATTCTCGGTTCCCAACTAATATTTCCAGTCATTCAACAACACTCTCTTGTTGAGCCTTTTATTATTCATTTCATCACATATAATCCGGTTCTCTATCATAATTTAATCATACACTCTATTTCTGTTAAAACCGGTTTAATCTTTTTTTAATAATTCCCAATATTTAACCATTCTCGTCAAAAACCAGCCGAATCTGCTTAATAACTATTTCATCACATCTTTAGCTTTACCAAAACCAGTCTAGACTCATCAAATAAAACATCCATCTAAACCAGCTCATCATGTAATCTCAATCATCTCTGGATGATTTACAGGTGACAACCCAAAGGCTCAATTTCCAGATCACTTGTTCAACCGCACAGACACAAGCAAAGAGGGTGACACTGGATTCGCTAGGCTGTCTTTGCTCTGATAGCTGCTCTTTTACTGGTGACGGCCTGGAAACCTGTCTTAATGCTGGCCACGGAACATCGACTGCCGCATGTTTCACACTGCAGGAAGAACAGACGAGTGTCCTTTTGGAGTAGAGTGTCACGAGATCGGCATGTGTGACATGTCACGTATTCCTCTGTAACAAACAAAACAAAAGACGCTGGTTTAGACATCTGCCCAACAATAAAAAATCCACACAACATCTAGACAAGCTAGCTGGATGCTGTAAGCAAACAGTATAAAGACACAAATAAACCATTACTGTCTGAAGAGATCGGTGCAACAAGAAGTGACTAGGGGATCTGGCTGGTGCTCAACTTTCAACATCTAGAAAAGCTAGCTGGATGCTGTAAGCAAACAGTATGAAGACACAAATAAACCTTACTGTCTGAAGAGATCGGTGCAACAAGAAGTGACTAGGGGATCTGGCTGGTGCTCAACTTTCAGTCGGGGCGTGGGGGGGGGGGGGGGGGGGGGGGGGGAGGGGCGGGGGGGGGGCACAATCAGACTGTCACTGGCACCACTGGAATTCTGAGCTTGCAACTGAAGATGAGGACAGAGCAGTTATGGGAATTCCTAAGTGCTTAGATATCAGTTATTAACGCAAAACCGATGATATCCAATAATTACCAATTGAGGAGCATTAGGTATATGGTGCTAGACCCATTTGACTGAAGACCAATCAGCCCTCAATATGCATGGTACCCCTTTATTTTATTTTAGAGTATGAGACAAACGCTTGGCCACTTCATCACTGAAGACCACCATATACAGTACATACGAAAAGTTTTGTTTCTGATCTACAAAATTTAAAATTGTAACAGTGATAGTCTTCTGATCACCTCATAACATCCTTGCTTTTGGTAATGCAGGCAATATACATCGAGTTTCAACAGTTTTCAACCTCTGACCTCTTAATCTCACTGATAAATGAGATTTTTGTTGTTGTTGTGTTGTGCAACTTCCTCTGAGACCATAGGTAGCAATTCTATGTTTTTAAATTCAGCCTTTTTTTGCTGGGTAAACTTGGGAGCAAAAGTCATTGCATTAAAACTTGGCCTCAATGAGGTTTTTGGGCTAGAAAGCAAGTGTCTGGCCTAGCCAATGCATACCAAGAATTTCTGATCTTCTTATAAATACTAGTATACAAGACATAAACAACAGAATTTCATAAAAATCAGTCAGCTGTAAAATCACTGAATGACTAGGAACTATACAGGAAGCAAAGAATAAACCAGAAAAATGCAGAGCAGCCATTTTCATATACTTTCACAACTGGGCTAGGTCTGAATGTAGCATCTACCTCAAACCGTGAGCGCCCCAGCAAAATAGCAAGTGCTTCTTTATCACACTCTAACGCATGTATCAGAATGAGTGATCTCATTACTTTAGCAGCAAAATGGCTAAAACTTTTCAACTAATTCTGAAATTGTTTTCACAAAGGGCTTGCTCTGATCTGTTGAAAGCCTATGCTCCAATGAAGATATTGAGTCAAAGAAGCCTAATGCTGAGTGATAAACAAGACAAAAAAATATACTCACTGATATATCTTCTTAAAACATTTTCTATCTGTTTCTGTGTGTATTTGCCTCGAATGATCAGTTGGTTATTTCCATCAACAGAACCACTGAAAGAAAATTATTAATTCATGATCATCTGTCACTCTCCACGTTCATTTTATATAAAGACGCTAGTTAAAACATTAAGCTGACACTTTGTGAGAATGAAACCTAACCAGCTACAACACAGTGCTTATTTTCAAATAAAATGTTTACATACACAGAGGAAGATGAAGCATAAGAAGATTCACAAGACATCAAGATCTTAAACTTTCTCTACATTTAATGGTAACAATAAGTTATCGTTCACAAGAATCTATAATACACATAGCACACATTCACAATTCCTCATACAACTGCTACAGTTAATTTAGTTGTGTGAGTGTCTGTGTTTAACTGTTGCTCACAGAAGTCACAAAACTGACATTTTCTTTTTGCGTCTAATTTCCCGAGAGTCATTTTTCTGACTCGGCTAAGCAGCAGGTTCATGGGGTGCCTAGACAACAGCTCTGGCATCACTTGCACATGTTCAAATGTTTAGAAGGGCCAGGAATGACTCGATCAAGACCCTGGGTGACTGGTGTTGGCAATCATGCCTCTCTACAATCCAATCTTTGACAGCAAGAATCATATTGTGTGCTGACACCCCTCCATGTCATAAGAATGGGTTGGTAAGAATCCTCTTATGCCATCCTTCACTATCTCTCGTTCTACAGATCTTTCCAGTGGTCACAGCATGTTCTAGTTTCCTTCTTCTCATAATAAAATCATCATCATGAACCACTTCTGCCACTAGACGATGTAGGGAGGAATAATTTGTGATTCAGTGCAGGCTGGTTGCCACCGGCTACTGTCATGCGGTGAAGGCGTAGTGTCTTTCATGTTGTTCATCCATATTCTCTGCAGTCATCCTCTTGCTTTTATAGCTGATCTTCTGAGATGTAATGCTTGTGATGGTATTTGACCTTGCTGCATTCTAACCACTTGATCTGCTGTTTCTCGCTGAATCTAGTACAATGTGTCGCTCCCCAAAATTTGTCTGATAGTATCATTATTCACTCGATCTTAGTGGGTAGGTTGGCTGCTTTTCTCGGGCATCTCATCTCGCAGGTGGTGGTTTTGAATATATGGGCTTTAGATAGTGACCATGTTTGGCACTGGTAGCTTAATGTTGAAATATAAACCTGAAAATTATTACTGTTTCTTTTGTAATTATGTAATTATCTGTCTTTGAGCCCTCGCTTGTTAAAATATTTGGGTTGCACCTTTTGGCTGTCCAAGGAATTAAAAGGATTCTTGTGTAAAACCACATCTCCAAGGCCTCAAAAATATCGTTTGGCTTTTTTAATTAATTATTGAATATTCACAACCATATGTTAAAACTAGCTGTGTACAGCATGTAGGAATTCTTTTTCAAAATCCAGTGACATTGATTTATTACAAAAATATATTTTTTTTAAAATGTAGCTTTAAACTGTCTTATTCTGTTCTTTACCTCTCTCACCTGACACTATTGGTGGGCCTGAATACTTAAATTTGTGTAAGGAATTAAGACATTTACTTTTTGAAAAAAAGCACTTTGAGGGGTTTTCCTTGAAAGAATGGCTTTATTAATAGAAATTATGACATCGGAATTATCTTAGTAGTCGCAGTGTTAACCTGTGACCCGGTCACAAAGTTTTTTTAAAAAAAATGGGCCAAATAAACATTTCTTTTAGACTCAGATATGTAACAAGTGAATTCTCTGCTGCATTGATGTTTACTGCTGACAGCCTCCTGCAATGTATGGAATTTTAATATTATATTGGTCTATAAACGGAAAAGTATAATTATTTAGTAACCTGTGTAAATCGATTTATTGTTCTCAAGACTAGGTTTTTTTTCTTTCGAGAATTCCCTAATTACGGGCCATTGGCTTTATTTTTCTAGGTCACCCTGGCAACCGGGGCTAATGTGACACAAACAATAGTGGATTCTTAAATTGAAACAATAAATAAATTACTGTAAAAAATATCTGAAAGGCTCAAGTCTCTCTCGAACGAGCGAACTGCCAAAACAACTTAGCTTAAAGCCACATACCTGGTTCCCAACTCTGCTAACAAGAAAGCTAGGACATGCTTAGGCTGTCGATGTAATCTGAAAACATAAGAAGGAAATTTTTTGTCAGTTTGTATCATAAGAGTGTGCACTTTATTTCTGTTAAATCCTGTAGACAAATTTAATTACATCCTTAAACAACTAAATAAGATGCAAGATAAAAATATAAGATATCAATTTTCAATAAATATCAGGTTAGATTTACCAACAATAATAACAATACAATACTAACCACAAATTGTGACATATAAATGAAACCACACAAAAATATCTAACGGTAAAGGCTGGTGCGTTGTAATTTCCCGTAAGCCAATTAATTCTAATCAAACAAGTCACAAAATAATCTTCTTCTATGCATTCACCAGTTTTAAACTCCAGCGGAATGTTCTGGTTGTTCGTCCACTTTTGGACTCTAGTCCTATTCCAGAAACTAAGTGTTGTGTGTATATCTGTTTCACAGGTATGACCCATTTGCATGCAGACTCCCATTTAACTCTTGTGACATACTTTTGGACAGGCAGTGGGTCTATTCTTGTTTTCCTCACAATGGAGCCCTGGAACACACACGGGGATTCACAAAATTCAATCTAAGCCAATAACAAAGATGTCCTCCACATACAGGTTACAGCCAATCAAATCTAGATACTCCAACGACAAGCCTCCCGAGCAATGTTTTATCCATTTAATGGTTGGGACTCAAAAACAGTTTTATCTAATATCCTCGAGTAAAAGCCTTTGTCATTCGCAACTTTTTCTGGCTTGTATTTACTTGTGGTGCCTGCATACGTGTCGGATAATCTACTAATCAGGCAGAGATGTGATTTCTATCGAGATGTCAGTTAAGCGATTCTGCGTATTCACATTCATGTTTGTGGTATTGTAAATTTATGTAATGTGCTGATAAAGACTTTCTGGTTGCAACGTTTCCTTGTCATTTGTGTTTCTGATATTGTTAAATTGACTGATTCTACTTTTCGTCTGCTCTTTGATATCTTTTCTGGGTTTCATCCCATGTGCCCGAGACTCTCCACAGAGTGGCCAACCAGCTACTGAGTGACACACAAAGCATGAACACTGTATCTCCAGTGTCGATCACAAGAAAACTTCATTAAAAAAACATTGACTTACAATCTACAAATGTCTGCAAAATTGGCAAATGAGGTTTTCCTGGTACCAACTCTCAAGACCTGAGGAGGCCGCATCACAAATTTTTTCTTCTCCCCAGCGATCATGTCGGGGTTCTTCTCTCTCATGATATCAAACACTCGGGATAAAAGCTGAGGACAAAAATACTTTTATATCCTAATAAAGCAAGATCAAATATTATATCAACATTCATAAGATCAAATATGTGAGGAGAAACAAAAACTACATATAGGAATATTTCAAATATTTTAACTCTTTCAGTTCCTGGGGTTTAGCATCAGGGAGATGTAAAATTGGCACAACTTGTGTTCACTGAGCTTTTAGGTAGGAACCAATGAACATATGATGCGTTCCTTGTGACTGAAAGAGTTAATATATGATCAATATGTGAAATATAAGCAATATGCGAAAAGACATATATCAAGTATATAAGACCCCCCCAAAAAATATTTTAAAAAGATATAAAATTACATGAAAAAAATATAAACTACGTAAGTGCTCATAAGGTCAAAGATGAGGGTCACAAAACTAAATGCAATTTTTGAAGCTAACTGACCACCCACCATTAAGTATACATGAAAGCCCAACACATTACACTTTTGAAGCCACACACTATCAAAGAATAGTGTGCCCAAATTATTGCACTCCCCCCACCCCTTCCCCAGTAATATTCTTGTCATCCCAAACCTCTTTTGAACCTGTGTATTTTTCTGTTTTTTATGAGGCTAGAGCAGTGTTCTTCAACCCGTGGGCTGCAAAAATGTCCAGGCGGGGTGCCAAAAATGTCTGCTTGAGCATGTGTCAGGATGGTGTGGGTAGTTTTTTTCGTCCACAACTGCTGTCTGTATGATTCAACACCTCGAGGGTGAGACTAAAACAGGTACAAATCCTAAAAACACCGGTTCAACCACATAACAGTAATATTATGGCACCTGACGATTACGTAATTCGAAGTCCGGTCTGAACATAGACAATAACTCAGCTACATGATTTTGCAAAAGTGAGTGTGGCGCCGTACGCATCAGTTCTGAATTTTTTAAATTTTAGTTGCCATCTCAGACCGCGAAACAGTTTTCCCTGTTTTTGGTAGATCACGGGTGTAGAAACACTGGATTAGAGTATCTTATAGAAAATCTAGAAAGCAAAATACAAACTGACCTCATCATAAGTGTAGTCTCTGTCTGAGCCGATCCAACTGTTGTGCCCACCAACATCCTCCCCTCCAAACTGCTCCTCTGAAATTAAATATGCATAATTACTCTACTGCTTTCTGTATATATACAAATAAGTGACATGTGCATGCAACACTCAAGTTCTGAAACAAGATGACTAAAGTCCAAGGAACTCATCCAGGGAACTGCGACTATAAAGCATAATGAAATGGTGAAGCAGAAAAAACATGCACAAAACAATACAAAGAAAAAAATGAGGAGTCCTCAGAATTCATCTATAAAACCACATCTTTATCACTTCCATATATCTGTTCACTACATTATAACAATTGTCCTCTATAACTCTGATGTGCGACTTCAAAGTAAGTTTGTTGTGTATATCCTTTACAGGACGTTGCAGAACCAACCTTAGCATTTGCTGGCTGGTGTTGTTTTTCTAGGCTAATTTATTTTCAGTAGACTTCAAAGAAAGAAATGCAAAATATTACTATATTTCCCACTGCAACAAAACTATAACATCACAAACTAAATTCAAACCGGTGAACAAATGCCTGATGAAGCTGAATGTGTTAGGTGATAGGTGCAAACGCCGTACTGTGAACAAGCACAATGCAATTACATCCCTTGCACAAATGATGAAAAACAAGGAGAACAAACTAAATTCTACTCTAGCGAAACTATAAATCCACTTACTATTCAACATAAACAACAACATCCAATACATTTTTTCACATCACCAATCTATTTCTTATCATAAAATGGATATTAGATTAATCCACCACACAAAAAAATTGTAAATTTTCCACAGCAACATACTAATTTTCCGGTGTGGGTCGTATACAATTTGAGAGAAACAAAAACTGATCCACTGCCACTTAACAAGCATGTTGCAGGGCAGGACTATTCAACTGGAGGCCTAACAATTGACACGTGACTGAGGCCCTGTTAGGGTATATTTTCTGCCTTAATAATTTGGGACCATTATTCAGGACAAACAAACAAACAGAAATACCTTCTTCTCCCAGTCCATCCTCTGCGCCCCCATCCACATTAACCGGTCGTTTCTTTTTCTTCTTTCTGTTAGTAAAGTCCAGATCTTCAAAATTAAAATCCGTGTCTGCATTTGTGACTGGAGCTGGTTCAGATTCGGTGGTTTCCTAGAATGGAAAGAAAATATTTGAAGGATGAAAAGAAAGACAATAGCTGGCCACAAATAAGCACCATTTTTTTAAAACTCTTTCAGGACGACATTTTTCTGGGGTTTGGACGGAATTAGCTTTGAGCTGAATTATTTGTGCTGCAATATGACACAGCTAAAACCTTGCCGAAGAAAACGTATTGGCTGTATAGTGACGTATTATAACCAAATTAATGAGAAATGAAAACAGAACACACCTAAACTATTTAAGGATCATTACTGTAACAACAAGTTGACGCCCGCCTGCGGATCGGAAGGTCGTGGGTTCGTATCCTGACGGTGCCGGACTTTTCTTTAAAATAAACTTGACTCCCAGGTCGTCCCAGCCATGAGTGGTTGCCAGGTACAGTCCTGGGAAGTAAAGGTGGCCGGCATGATGCTGACCACACCACCTTCCAAATGCCAATTGGTCTAAAAAAGTATAGGTCTAGCCCTATATACCTAAAGGGGTGGAAAAGGGTCCTTACTGTAACAACAAAATATTAAACTGGAACCACATTCTAGGATGTTACGACACACCTTTTCCTTGTGGGTTCATGGCCCCATTGTGGAGAAAACATGAACAGACCCACTGCCTCCCCAACAAGCATGTCATAGGAGTCAACTAATTCGGCACTTCGTTCGAAGTGCATCTGCCCGAGCAGCAAGGAACAATCAACTGCACACAAATAAGCCAGTAAAATGGATGTACGCGCAAAACTCAGAACCTGGCACGAAGCCAACGTCCAAATGGATGAACAACGAAGACTTTCCACATGAGCTTACAGCTGGTGATTAAAGAAGAAAGAAGAGGAATAAATTTGAATAATTTGCTTAAAAAAAAGAATCATCATGCCTTCTCTATTCAGTTATGCATCAGCTAGTCTTGAGACAATAAATTTTAGAACAACCGATTAAAAAAAAAATTGTATCACACTTTAAAACAACTCTAAATTCCTCCCGCTCACACATGCTTTGATAACAAATATGTTTTTCTAACTCTAGTTTTTCGAGTACATGCAAATTCATTTTCCAGGCAAACAAAAGAATTGTCCTGTGTCATCCTCGGCAGTCAACAAAGTGGCAATTTTGTCTAAAAGTAACAGATTAACCATAACTTGAGTGTTGATATATCCGGAAAGAGTTAATATATTGTATTTTTAACCATGATTTAACCGAAAGGCTAAGGTGGGATATGCACACACAAAAATGCACCATTATGAAATGGAATGAGCTCAAACATCTTGGTGACAACTGGCAAGATTGAAGTGGAAACAGTAAGTGCAAGACAAAGAGATAAAAACCTGAGTAACCTGGCTATGACAAAGGCACTCATCTAATGCATTATGAGGGTGACAGAGCAAGCAAACTATAACCTCCTAAACTTATCACCAGGCCACATGATGATGATGTATTTATATCACATGTCTTGTGTTTAAATATATTTAGACATCTATGCTTACCACTGATTCACAAGTGCCTACAGCTGTAAACTGCATGTTTGCAGTAATGAGCAAAATACCATACATTCTAGATTGGTTGTAAGCTGAACTATAAGCTTGTGTGACTATATAATGGTCGCATGATGAAATCACCATAAAACATTTCTCAAAACATACCCACCTTATTTAGCAACTTAAAGTGACTACAACAGAATGGAGGTATCCGTAATATTCTGATGCAACTCCTGGCAATTTTATTTTTGTAAATCACTCATTGTTACACAGCGTCTATGGGCAGGTTATTACATTCACAGCTTTAGAAATGACTAAATAAAACAGTAGTTGTTTATTTATTACTTTTTCCTTGACTGGAGACATCAACATCTCAACAGAGAAATTAAACTACAACACTGGTTACCTGAAAAATTATCCTCATCATAATGTAAATAAGAAAAGGATTCTTTCTACTCCGTGTGTGGGATCCGGTGCAGCACTGTGGGGAAAACTAGAGAAGACACACTGCCTGCACAAAAGTAAGTTGTAAGACTCGACAAATTGGGAGCTTCCTTCGAAGTCGCAGCACACCTGCCTGAGAGGCAAGAAACCAATAGTCTGCATGCAAATGAGTCAGACCTGTGAGACGAATGTGCATGTAACACTCAGTTTCTGGATTAGGATTATATTCTAGAATTGGACAGACAATCATAACTTTTCCACAGTCTTCAGCCATTGAATGTGAAGCCACTACACCACCACCGCTCCCTCAATATTGGCTTATAAATTTAATACAAAATAAAATTTTTGCTATGCACTTACTGGCAAGGAATCTCCTACTTCTTCCATATCTAGAGCTTTCTTTTTCTTCTTTTTTTTCTTCATGTTCATAAAGTCCATGGAGAAATCTGCAACAACAAATTACAATACATTATTACAAACAAACACCCAAAAAAAAACCTTTTAGTAACAACCACATAATGAATGCTCATCATCAGAGGTAGATCAAATTAAAAATAATTCAGGAATCAGCATATTTTATTTTTGGCTGTTGCTGCAAATACTAAGAAAGCCATCAATCTTATTTGTCTTTCTGGCGTTCAGTGGGTGTAAACTTTGGTAGAAAGTTCTTGTTGTTCACCCTTTTAAATTTAGGTCTTTTTTTTTTTTAGAACATAAGACTTTACTTAATATCTGGCTTTTTTGTATGAATGCTGTTGCTGGTTCCTCGCAACCTAAGATAGATGCATGCTGACTCTGAAGGCAACACCCCAGGTTAGTTGATTTTCATGACATGCTTGTGGGTGGGGGGGGGGGGGGGGCGCAATGATAATACCCGTGCCTCCCCCCCCCCTTCAAGTATCCGCTGAACCCACACAGAAGATGCCAGAAATCAAATTAAAATTTAAATCGTCTTCCAGATTCCTCTGGATGTAGATGTTAGAAGGGAACAAAAATACAAGTTAGGATCGTCGGGTTGCTCTCTCTAATGCACTGTGCTTTTTTTTAAATTCAAGCCCACATAAAAATTTGCAGGCACATTGGCAAATAGACTCCTTGTATTTGTCTATCCATGCTTTGGCTGGGTCCGAAAACATTGGCTAGCATCTCTGAAGCAGCAGGGGCTGACATAGATCAGTTTCATTTTCCCGCTAGGGGCATGCAAGGAAAGCTTGCAGGCATGGCTATTGTGAAGGGCGGATGAGCCATGGACCAGGCTAATATAATGAGTGCTCTATGAGAAGTAAGACTTTTGCAAGAACTATATGACTGTGAATCTGCAGTCATGACCAAAATGAAAGAACAGCGGGTTAAAATGAATGTGACCAAACAAGAGCACTATGCATGAAGCCAAAGAATGAGACACCATCAAAGAACTAATGTCATCAGCCACAGACTGAAAAAGGGAAGGTCTTGGATGGCGCAAGCTAAAGACACAAATAGACATGTATACAGGCTTGATAATCCTGGTGAGGACTGGAGTAGTGTCAGAACAAGAATCAGACGTGCAAAGGGTTCTAATTAGGGCTGTACCGAATATCGATTTTCACTATTCGGCCAAATACGAATAGCGGGACCAACTATTCGGCCGAATACGAATAGTATATAGTTTATAAAATTTTCTTTAAAAAAATTTGTTAAACACATTCATAATGTCAAATGTATGCTGAACTTTTACCTCACATTAAGTAGCACAGAAAAGTCATCTTCTTCTTTAGCATTCTGAGCCCTTGAGGTTTACTGCTGCAGATATCACTCGTCTCCATTCATCTCTCTGGCTGGCCTTATCGTCACAATTTGTGACACCAGTTGTTTGCAGGTCTGGCTGGACATTACCTCTCGAACTTCTTTTTTTGTCTGCCTCGTGGTCTACGCCCATTCCTCTCTCAGGTGTATACATTTTTTTACTTTTCTGTCATCTGACATTCTTTCAATATGCCCCAACCATTTTAGTCTGTTAGCTCTCATGATGCAAGTGATCAATGGTGATTTAAACAAAATTATGTGTTACATTGTTGCTTCTTACTCTCCATTCCCCACTGTTAGCATCTTTGATGGGTCCAAAGATTTGTCGTAAGACTGTTTTCGAAAACCTGTAATAAGGCCTCATCTCTTTTATTTCTGCTTTCAGTGTCAGAGCCATATAAAACGACTGGTCTTATCAACGTTTTATATATTTTGATCTTGGTGTTGCGAGACAGACACTTTGACTTTACAGATGTTGAAGGGCATAGTATACTTTATTTCTAGATTAAGATTGTATCCTAGATTGTATTTCTTCTCTCATTATGTTGGAGCAGTTGAAGTTTGCACCCAGGTACTTATATGTTTCCGTTTGTTTGATTTTCATATTATCGACTTGGATGTGGCCGGAGTTTATATTCTTTCCATGTCTAGTTAGTATTCGTACAGAATAGTAAACATTTAAAAACATTTTATGTTTTGCATCCTTCAGTCAGTCTGTGGTAACAAATAACTAGGAATGAAAGAATCCTAAGTATTATAACAAGTAGTTAAACTTGGAAATGGTCACTGACAGCTTAGTTAATGCATGAAAGCTGCATTAGCTTGGAACAAAACCAATCGTTCAATGTTGTCAGGATTAAGGCCGTGCATGCAGAAGCGGGTGTAAGGTAACTACTATTCGTATTCGGCCCGACCGCTACTATTAGGCCAAATACTGAATAGTCAATAAGTCCACTATTCGGCCCCGAAGCGAATATTCAGTACAGCCCTAGTTCTAATCACGTTAGGTTGAGAGTGCAGGGACTGGCCAGCTGGTGCTGCAGAATCAGAAGTTCAACAAATAGTTCATAACACTTTACACCCAGGTGATGTGATTATCTATATAGACGGCTCTGTGTTGACAGGCAGACAAAGTGCATGAGGTTCATAGAAAAAAAAAAGTGAAAGGACATCGCTTAGTGCAACAAAGCATGACATATGATATCACAATGTCTAGTTTGAGAATGGAGGTGGAGGCAGTCACTGCTTCCTTCTGCTGACTTCAGAATCATGCTGTAATTGTAAATGACTCATATAGCATGCTGATAAAAGTAGAGACTGGCATGCTCCATGCAAACTACCAAGTATAGCTTCGGACGTCCTAGGGCAGTCAGCATTGTTTGTATATTTTCTCCAGGTCATGCCCTCCAAGTGATGCCGGTGCGTTGGGAAAGTAGCAGGCAGACAGACTAGCTGGTTATGCACCACTTGGTCATAAACTGATGTATGACAAGATCTGGTAATCTAGTAATCCTAGTTTCAGCTTCATAGCAAACGGGTCACCCCACATATGCTCCGCTCCTGTGCCAACGAAAAACAAACGCAGCTCACAGTGTCACGCCATGCACTCAACTCAGAAGCTGGGCGACGAAACTACATCCTTCCAGTCTACAAATGGAGCAAAAATGCAACGGCCACCGTCTGGAAATATTTGCCACGGCTTTAAAAAAAAAAACTGGCCGTACCTAGCGTCCATTTTGACCGGAAGAATTATATGAGGGTTAATAAACGGTCACCCCAGCAGTACCCTCATTATTAGCTGGGGAAGGGACTTAGGACATTACATTCACCAGCAGGCTTCGCCCCTACAACGACCTGCCTGCCATCGTTAGCGACTGTTCACCCAACAGCCATGCAGTTCTTTGGCACGAAGGAGACACCTTGAACTTGGGTTTCGTACTGCCGACTCCCTACTAAGATGTTATTTTCTGTTCTGTTATCACAAGGAATGTCACTGCACATTGGGCATACCCATGCGTGCTCAGTTCTCCGAAGCAGCAGCCACTCTAAAGTACTTCTACTAATTGTCCCCATGAGAAGCTGGTTAAATTGTCTCCTTTCTCGGCCTCGAAGACGGCAAAGACGTGCATCACCATGCTTAACTCCCATGTCACGCAATCGTGTTAGTGTCAGGGATTCCTCATTCTCCACTAGCCCGCTTCGTACAGCGTTGACTATGTCTGCTCTGTCCTTACTTTTTCCTGCAATCATTAGTGCAGTGCTTGCCAGTTGGTCTGCTCGCTCATTTCCCTTCACGCCCGCCCGGTGTGTAGATCCAGGTTACGGAGGTTAAGTGCGATTTCCTGATGCTTTCTATCCACTCAGAGCGCATACTGCCTGTTGCTATCTTCTGAAGCATATTCATTGAGTCTGAGACAATTACTACCTGTGTGGCGGTGGATAGAACAGACAAGATAGAACAGTGAGGAGGAACAAACAGATCATTATGGTCCTAGGAGAACAGTGCTGCGAGGAGTAATCAGGGGATCTGGTCGACGGTCAACAAAAAAGGGAAAGGCGAGACGGATATACGATCAGACAGTTGCTGATGCCATCGGAATTCGAACTCTTTCCTTGTTGCTGAAGATAGGGATGGAGCGCTTGAGGAAGTGTCCTCGGTGTTATGATGTTGATTCCTAATTCAACAATGTGTTCTAGGAATTTTTTCTGCTGGATTCACATCTGAAATGTAACTCCACGGATCACTAAATTTTTTTTTTCAATTCATGGAACACAAGGTGCGGTTTCTACTCAGAGTTAACTACCAATTACACATCTTACGACCTATGTGACTGGAGACCATCTGCAATTAGGACCCTGAAATATAAGTAAATAAAGAAAGATAACATGGCAGGGTCAAAAAGTTCCCGGCACTGATGCTTACAGCTAAGCAGGGTCCAATTATATGTACTAGATTTAATGTGTATTTCATGTACAATTGTTATAACCTGTCTGAATGAAAATAGTCTTAAAAATATGTAATTTCGAAACATGGGAAGTTAGGGCCTGTTAGTCGGAGATAAACTGAGTTTCAAGTCAAGGAGACTGTATACACATTTCTAAAGAAACAGCACAAATTTTACTAGACCCATACCATCTGCTGGTTTCTGTGATGGCTGTGAGTCCCCAGGCTCGTCATCTTCCTCTTCTGGGACAACTGGAGCAGAGGTTGGCTGACCATCAGCAGCTCCCCCAGCATCGTCACCCATAGCTGCATCTAGATCAAACCCTGTCTTCTTCTTTTTTTTCTTCTTCTTCATTGTAGGGTCAAAGGGTAACTGTAAAGATAAAACATCAACCATGTCTAATTGGTGTGGTTAATTAAAAAATTAATAATTAAAAATATAAAAATCCAGGCTGGATTTATCAGATAAGAATGGACTGTACCACAAAGCACATCGTAAATGGCAGGTCAAACCTTCATCTATCTGTCAGGTGGACTCATGTGAGGATTTAATATCAAATATATGAGGAACAATTTACTTAAAATCTTAAGACACAAGATTTATTCTTCAATCCTATTGCTTATGCCACTAAGCATCAAAGAGAGGAGTTAGATGTAGTTTCCTGTATGCTCGTTGTGTAGCTTGTGTTAATGTCATGTTGAAAAATGTGCGTGAGACAAACAATAGCGTGGTGTTTTTTTTTTTTGCTTAAAGAAGGAATACAAAGAATGTGTTTAAAAAAAACGGGGGAAAAAAGCGAGGCCCTTCTGGAGATAGATGAAAACTCTAAACTCATTAGAGACTATCAGACATAGGAGTGTGTGTTTTCTGGGGGGATCTTATGAAAAGGAGTCGGTGTCGGTGGCTTCGGCTTCATGATTCTGTTGCACCAGGTTCTATCCCAGTTGCAGACAATTTGACAGCAGACCACCTTGCATTTATTTCAAAGTGGTAAGGGATCCAATCATACAATTTAGAATCAATGACAAACTACTGAATGTTAGTCTTAGTCTTTCCTCTTGAGCCTAGAGCAGTGCATAAGGCAGAGGTCACAGTTCTCCATGTCTGGCAGTTTCTTGCTACCTGTCGTAGGTCATGAATGTTTGTTAGGCCCATGGTTGAGCCTTCGCTGGTGATGGTTCTACGCAGGGTCTCTCTTGGTCTTCCCAGTTTTCTTCTCCCTTCTGGTGTCCATATGAGGACCTGATGGAGATGGGGGAGTCTGCTCTTATCCATTCTGGGTGCACTGGCTATGTGGTTCCAGAGGCACTGTCTTATAAATGTAACTGAATGTAACTTTGCCTAATGAAATAACAAAAAACAAACAACCAAAACATGCTGGGGTTGGTTCTGCAACAAGCTACAACTACAATGGATACAAAACTAACTTTATGAGAAGAAATGGACTTGGTAAAGTGAAGGTAAAGTTGGGAGATGTGAACCAGCATCATTGCACATGGTTATAAACCATAATTGCTCTGCCACCAGTACGGACAGCTAGAAAAAAAAAACTATCCGCCTGTGTCGCCGTCCGCACACAACTCTATAGCTACAGTGATTTTTCTCCATTTACCCCAGAGTGTTAACTCTGGTACCCATTACTTAGAGGCTGGGTGAACACCGGGAACCACCTGGTTTCGAACACCGGCCGTAGGCTGCAGTGAGTCCCAGCTGGATTTGAAAGTGAGTCTCCTATCGACTGCGCTAACTCGGCCCCTACGAATGGACTTGGTGATGACCGGCAATGGTGGTGGAAACAAAGGAAGGGGAAGCCTGTGGAGCTGCCAAAGGACAGAGAGATAAATACCTGGATAGCTTGGCCTTGTGGATTTGGAAGGGAAGGTGGGTGTGAGACAAAAAACACATTGACCTGATGTGCGATTCTAATGACTGTGTGTGGCTGAGATGGTGAAACATGATAGCCTACTTCAAGCTTTTTGGCAGGCATACTATATAATGACACAATGATTGTTAATTTTGGGAATAAGAATAATCACAATAATAATTATGTCAACTGTGAGATTTTATAATGTTAGACTTGAAAAGACACAACATGTGAATACAGCTGAGAATAGGAGATTTGTGGATAGATGGAAGTACTAGAAGAACAGGATGGAAAACATTCTTAGCAAAATTATTATTCATTATTCTCAGTTGTGTCAAGAGGATTGGTTTATTCCCTGTGGGCGGCTACAACTACATAAAAGTTCATCTTATCATCATAATCATACCCCGGGCGGCAGACCCCAGAATTACCGGTACCCCGTTCAACCAGTCTTAACGTCCAGAAGAAATTTTTAACAAAAATTAACAATTAATTAGTATTAGCATGCCCGACGCCGTCGTCCCAACGCCTACACCAACCTGGTGTAAACTCAACTTAGTAACTGCAGTTCTACGCGGGTAAGGACCGTCATGATAGCATTATTTGGATTATATTTATAAAGCTGAAAATGTGTGTGGGATACTATAAAAATATCATAAATATGGAAATATCAATGGGTAGCAGCTGGGTAGCAATGAGGCAATAAACCAATCTCAACGTTCCTTCCCCTCCCTCACGTTTCTGGCGTTTCTCATTTGTGGTTTGGACCAAACCGTTTGGTTGAGTCTACGACGCCGACAGAAATTATGTTATGGTAAGAATTATTTTATTATTAAAAACAAATCGACAATCTCATTTTATACTCACTAAATCATCATCAGCCATGATGGCAGTATATGGAGTATACTAACAAAACTGATAATGTGTGCAGGGTACGATCCAAGTTTGGAGAATGATTGTGTTCCTTCACGCCTCGGAATGCTCTTCTTGCATCATTTACTTCTACTTCCGCTTTTCCTTTAGTAAGAAACTGGTGTTCAAGTAATGAAGAGTTCTCACCGTACTGCAGGAAAGACCATATTAATGGGGGGAGGGGGTAGACAGAGATATCCTAAAATAGGACGTAACATCGATGTCCCATATTAACTATATTACACCGTTTCTGGCTCACCTGCAGATCCGAAGGTCGTGGGTTCGGGTTATAACGGAGCAGGACCTTTTTCAAAAATGGCCTTAGTTCCCTGGTCGACCCAGTCCTGATTGGATACCAGGTGCAGTCCGGGGAAGAGGATGCGGCCGGTGTGATGCTGACCACATCATCCACCAAATGTTGATTGGTCCATAAAATATACATCTAGCCCTATATGCCCAATACGCCTGAAGGCTTAGGAAAGGGGCCTTTGCTTACGCCGTTTCTGCAGAGATGCTTTTAGAACTCGGCTTCTGCGGCTTAGACGTTACGAACGAGCTTGGTAATGCCGAGGTGGCGGGTTTGATTCCAGCTGCAGGCAATTTGGTAGCAGACCGCCTTGCGTTGGTTTCAACACTGGTATCAGGATCCGACCGTTACATTGGTCGGTCTCTGTTTTGAGAGAAATTCTCATACCAACGACTGAGAAGAAGAAGAATAATTATTTCGACATCTTCAGACGTAATGGCAAACTACTGAACGTAAGTTATTCCTAGAAAAACGGCAACAGCCAAATAATGCTGGGGTTGTTTTTGCAACGTCCCGTGAACGATACCTAACTAAATTTTAAACTGCATATCGCTATCAGATACGCGTGTGAGTTCCTGTGCGCTATTGTAGGGAAAACAAAAATAGACCCACTGTCTACCCAAAAGCATGTCGTAAGAGTTGACTAATTGGGAGCTTCCTTCGAAGTCACAATGCATCTGGCTGAGAGGCAAGGAACCAGCAGTCTGCATACGAATGAGTCAGATCTGTAAAACGGATGCACACGCAACACACAGGTTCTGGAACAGGACTGCAGTCCAGAAGTGAACGAACAACCAGAACTTTCCGCTAAAGTTTACAGCTGGTGAACACGAAGAAGAAGAAGAAGCTTTCAGAGACTGCTGCTTTTTCCGTCTCTAAATGCCAATATTTTAGTTGTTTTGTTACTGTCACTGCTGTCTGTATGTACCACTCTTTTTTTTTTTAGGTTGGTGTAGACAAGGGGTCGTGAGTCTGAGGATTTAGGGCCGCACGGCTAGTGCTGTCGCCACGGACTGTACAGGTTTTTAAAAAAAAGTTAGTTGCGTATTCTTTACAGGACTTTGCAGAACAAAAACCAGCAGCCCCTGGTTGCTGTATGGTTTCTCTAGGCAAATTTACGTCCAGTAGTTTGCCATTGCTTTTTGGACGGTCGACTTTTCGATATCACTGTCGAAACCAACGCAAGGCGCAGGGCTTGCAGCTGGAATCGAACCCGGCACCCCGGCATTACGAAGCGCGTTCGCCACAGGCGCCGACACTGTACAGGTTAGGTTGTTTAATTTTGATCCGACAGAAAAACTCCATCACCTTACCGGGGGTCCAACCCGGGTCTCTCGTATGAGAACCCGACGTTGTAACCATTCGGCCAGCCGCTCTTCGTTGTTTTGGTAACATTTTAGTTGTATGCATTCTTTTCTGCAGACCAGCACCTACCTCATCACATACTCTCTCTCTCTCTCTCTCTCTCTCTCTCTCTCTCTCTCTCTCTCTCTCTCTCACACACACACACACACACACAGACAGACAGACAGACAGTCAGACAGACAGACAGACAGACAGACAGACAGACAGACAGACAGACAGACAGACAGACAGACAGACAGACAGACAGAGCACAGTTGTAATAGTCGGTGACTGTTCTCCAGACACTATCAAGCAGAAAACAAGAAAAATTACAGATGTAAGGACCAGGATTTGTTTGTCTTCCAAGGGAGCAGAACTGGTCCTGCAGCTGATACCAGCTTACTGTATGTAGTATTCAGGAAATAAGAGTGCAGATAAGCTGGATAAATCTTTTAACAACCTCATCCACCACAGAGCTACACACAAAAACCAAACCACTCTTAACACAGTCTTTCATAGGAGAGTGGATAAGGCAGAACGGAGACTATTACCCGCAGTGTCAGTATAAAAGAAGAAGAAGAAGAAAAAGAAGTAGAAAAAGAAGAAGAGGAAGAAGAAAAATATTTTTTTAAAAGAAGACGAAGAATATATCCTCACTTAAATTCTCACACATTAACAAAGAAGAATTAACATTAAGTGTTATTTTCCCATCTTTAATTGTGTCTGTGCTTTCATAACTTATATGTTATAAATATTCGCGAATTTATCCATAGTTTTTATTGACTATAATTACACATGTAAATATGATGCCGGATTAAACAGTAAACCTAGGGACTTCAATGCAGTTTTTCAATTCTCTTTTTCAGCCTAAAACGTTAGACACAAAAACTGAAATCAGAAACATTAAAGTGGTCCAAACTAAGATCAGACTTTTTAAATAGCCTCGTAAGTAAGTGGGTTAAGGAGCTAGCTACTACATGATAAGCGAACTAGCATGTATTTATTGTTATCTAGTTGTGGAAAAGACGAGTTGTGAAATGAACTGCAATAAAAATTGCGGGTGGATGGTTGTGGTGGAAATATCGTGTTCTTACGCTGTAAGGAAAAAAAAAAAAAAAAAAAAAATAAACGACCCTTTTCCCCACCTTTAGACTTTTTAGGCATATAGGGCTTGACCTATATTTTAGACCAATCGACACTTGGTGGGAGAATGTGGTCAACATCCCACCGGCCGCCTATACTTCCCTGGTCTATAAAATATAGGCCTATCTCTATATCCCCAATACACCTGAAGATGTGAAAACTTAGCTTAGCCGTTAGCTCACTTTCCCACTTGGTTGTATTTCCGGTTTAAAAGTCTGGTTTTTTTTGTTTTGTTTACAAAAGTGGCCTTGTAGAGGAAACATTTCACATTCGTGTTTGGTAGCAAAGTGAAAGCCCCAGAAACGTCGTTATTTGTGATTGTTTAAAGCAGCATCTTCTTTACACATGCAATTTGACAGTCACATATTTGTTTCTTAAACATTAATTTGTCATACATCACTGACTGTCTGGCTAATCTTATAGGTGTGAGTATAATAATGGTGGCTGCTAATCTGAAAACATGTACAAGTAAATTCTTCTTCTTCTTCTTCTTCTTCTTCTTCTTCTTCTTCTTCTTCTTCTTCTTCTTCTTCTTCTTCTTCTTCTTCTTTTCTTCTTCTTCTTCTTCTTCTTTCTTCTTCTTCTTCTTCTTCTTCTTTTTCTTCTCTTCTTCTTCTTCTTCTTCTTCTTCTTCTTCTTCTTCTTCTTCTTCTTCTTCTTCTTCTTCTTCTTCTTCTTCTTCTTCTTCTTCTTCTTTTCTTCTTCTTCTTCTTCTTCTTCTTCTTCTTCTTCTTCTTCTTCTTCTTCTTCTTCTTCTTCTTCTTGTCTTTGGGTTTCGTAATCTCAGGTCAGACGGTAAGGTTGACTGCCCCTATGAACTCGCATATACAAATCAAATTTAAGTTTTACCGATCAATGTATAGTCCTGTGTATATTTCAGGTGTTTTTAAACATTAGTTACTAGAAGCACAATGTTGACAGTTAGCAAATGTTCATCATATACGAAAACAAAATATCCTTAAAATATTAACATTATATCGTTTTATTGTGCCTCTTTTTCACAACAAAACACTGTGTGAGCATATTTTACACGTGAAAAACTTAAAAGTTCTTATTTTCAAATACACCCTACTTAAAGAAGAGGAGCTAATCCGTAAAGAACTGCCATTATAGATCAAACATACACGTGTAAACTGCAAGTGTTTAAAATAGACTAGGCAAGGCATTGCCGTGCTATGATGCAGGGATGCAGCGGCATCAGGCGACACCGTGAGAGGGCCACATAAGAAGCTCCCTTCATCCCCAGGCAATTTCCAGAGTATTTTTAAAATTATTCGGGAATACTTCGATGCCAGAGACGTACTACTTGAAAAAAAAGTTCTACCAGTGTTGTAAATAGTTTTCGTAAACATGTACTCCAGCGACAGTGACACTGCTGTGGTGCAATGATGCGAATGTTTGACAATGGAAACAAAAGGATTAAAAATATGATAACGTCTTAAAGACTCTCAAAAATAAACTTTACTGAGAAAGGTCAAAGATGCTGAACAGATTTCCGTCTATGATATAGAGAGGATTACAGAGAACATAACAAGCGAACGAAATTAATTGTTTTAGTCAAGTTGGAACTGAACTTTAAAAAAAAATACAAACTGGGCTGGCAGACCTGCTTACATTCGCTCTTTCCAAAAATTCCTCTTTGTTTCTATTTTTATATTTACGATATGTTATGTTAGTATAAAGGAATAGAAGATAGATAGATAGATAGATAGATAGATAGATAGATAGATAGATAGATAGATAGATAGATAGATAGATAGATAGATAGATAGATAGATAGATAGATAGATAGATAGATAGATAGATAGATAGATAGATAGATAGATAGATAGATAGATAGATAGATAGATAGATAGATAGATAGATAGATAGATAGATAGATAGATAGATAGATAGATAGATAGATAGATAGATAGATAGATAGATAGATAGATAGATAGATAGATAGATAGATAGATAGATAGATAGATAGATAGATAGATAGATAGATAGATAGATAGATAGATAGATAGATAGATAGATAGATAGATAGATAGATAGATAGATAGATAGATAGATAGATAGATAGATAGATAGATAGATAGATAGATAGATAGATAGATAGATAGATAGATAGATAGATAGATAGATAGATAGATAGATAGATAGATAGATAGATAGATAGATAGATAGATAGATA